CCTGTTTATCCAAGACCAGGCGATACGTTCTGTCACCAATTTTTGCGTGGCTCTAATACATTGGTTAGCGAGACTGTGGATAGCCTAGAACGCTTGACGGCGTAGCATCCTTGGCACGAAAGGTCGAATGGTTTTCCCAGAGACATCGTAATAAATATCCGCGTCGTATTCAGGGAAACGAATTTTCCTTAATTTTAGGATTCTTGAGCAGTAGTTTATGATTTCCACCAGCGTCGTCCCTTTGTGCCGTCACGAGTACCTTATGGTTGAAAGCTTTCGAAATCGTCCCCACACATGACAATGCATCGGCAACCAGGTCTTTGGACCGTTTTACATACTGTATATCTGTTGTGAATCGCCCGATATAATCTAGGTGTTTAAATTGTCGCGGTGAACACTTGTCTAACATTTGCTTGAAAGGAAAAGTTAGAGGCTTGTGGTCTGTAAGAACTGTGATGTCTCTGCATTCGACGGTGTGTCGAAAGTGCTTAATGGCGTTGTATATTGCCAGTAGCTCGCGATCGTACGCGCTGTACTTTTGTTTCGCCGGAGACATGGTTTTAGTGTAAAAATTTAGAGATCGCCATACATTTCCTGCGCATCGTTGTAAGATTGCCATGCATTGCCTGCGCATCGTTGTAAGATTGCCTCAATCACGTAGTCCGAAGTATCGACGGCGATTCTAATTAACGCGTCAGGGATGGGGTGTGCGAGCAAAGTCGCGGTAGCGAGGGCCGATTTCGACTCTGTGAATGCGCGTTCCACGTCCTCAGTACGGGTCGCGGTTTCGTTACTCTTCCTGGAAACCTTTAACAACGCGTTCAGGGACAGTAGAATTTCCGCGGTTCGCGGTATGACCCGCCGGTAAAAATTGACGGTCCCCAGGAGCCTACGTAGCTCCTTTAACGTTTTCGGAGTGGTGAAAGCTGCGATTGCCGGAACGCGCTCATCTAAGGGCTCGGTGCCCTGCGCACTCACCAAGTTCCATAAAAATGCGATGGTATGGGCTCCAAAAATACATTTTTTCAGATTAATAACCACACCGAATTGACTGAGCCTTTTGAGAAAGTCCCCTATATCAGACGGCGAATACCTGTCCGACACGGTGCGAGCGTTCAATGCCCGGTAGTCTCCACAGGGTCGCAGGGTGCCGTCCGCCTTCGGCAGCACGCGTAATTGGGAGGCCCAAGGGCTCTTCGACGGACGGAGGACACCTTGCTGGACGATTAGACCACATTCGGCCTTGATGACTCTCAGGTTGTTCGGTGCGCGGCGGCGTGGCTTGCTGTACGCCGGCAGTCGTGGGGTCTTCTCGATATGGTGTTGTACCTGATGCCTCACCAGGTTTTTTCTGAAGACAGGCGGGCGCATCAGGTTCGGGAACTGCGCCAGGGGCCGGTGGCAGTCGGTATCACCTATCACTGCTTTAATGGTTGCGATCCCGGGGTCAGCGACGCGCCCACACGTCGTTAGTTGAGTTTGCTTGTCGATCAGGCGTTTGTTGCGTGGGTCAACTGGCAAGTCGTAATCACTAAGAAATTCGACCCCGATGTTCGGTGTAGCTACGCCGGCTGCCACGAAACACCACTTGAAGCTTCGCGGCAACAAAAGATTCAGTTCCAGAGCCACTGTGCCCTAGGTTGCGATATGCGACCGGTTGGCCGCAAAGAGTTCATTTTCGCACATTTTATAGTGTCCACTTGGACGACTACGCGGATAGACACACAAATCCGCACCTGTGTCTACGAGGAACGGGTTCTTAGAGAATTCGTCGGTGACGAAAGTTCAACGGGAACCTGAACCGTCGAGCGTCGCGTTCAAGGACGGCTCTTCTCGTTTCCAGCGCTTCAAATGCACGGGCTTTGGCAGGACGAGGAACATTTGCAAAATTTATGGTCATACTGACACATGCCGCCGAAGGATTGGCGGGAGTGTGGCGACTTCTTCCGCTCGCAGGAACCGACCTGGTTACGGTTCCGCGACCTGGACGCGAATATTCGTTGCCGTCCCAACGATGTTTCTACGCCGTTGAGTTCCGCAGCGAGTTAGTCCACCTTTTTAGACAAGAGTTGAAATTCGGACGCGTCGATGTCACGTCGCGGTTCGGGTCGGATCTCGTGGATACGTTCTGCCATTTCCGTCAACGCGATTACGCCCACTTGCGGCTCAGTGGATAAGGCGCGATGAGTATCCGTCGTCAGCCGGGTCTTCCCAAGCATCACGAACAACTCGTCCGCGGCGTAGGGGGTCACAAGGTTCCTCAAATGGCGGAAAAATTGCGACGGTTTGCAGTCGCCCATTTCGTCGCTTTTTACCAGTTTCCGTAGGGGTGTGGAGTCGGACTCCAACAACCGCTTTGTCAACTCGCGCTTTAATACGTCCTATTGACCCGTCAATGGAGGGTTCCTCACCACATCTTCGACCTGCTCGATGCACTCATCGCTCAGGTACATGAGCGTGATGCCGAACTTCGTCTCACCCTTCGTGATCCCCTCAGACACGAAGTGTCTCTCCAGCAGCCTAAACCAGAGCGCGACCTTGATCGACCAGAATTGGGGAACGTACTGCCTCGGTTGGTTTAGTACGTTTACCGATTCGCCCTCGTACTGATCACTCGCGTGCACACGATCAGCTTCCGCAATCACGTTCGCGATAAATGTATCACCGCACGTATTAAAAAAGTATGGAAGAAAGAGAAAACTCAAGCACTTCACCTTCTGTGCACGAAATCACGTCGCGGTCATCAGTTGAAGGTGGAGGACGAGAGGCTTTTTAATGAAAAGAGCACAACGTTTCCTGAGAATCATATTCGTATTACTATGAACATTTGTTGCTGCACACCTTAAGATTCAATGCAATGCAAAACTATTTGAAATCGCGCCACAACTTATCGTACAACTTAGTTTGATTTCGACAGTTTTATTGCTGCTTTCGAATTCAGTTCCCATAGTAATCAAATGTGATATATCTTCATACAGTTCAAAAGAGTGGTTCATAAAGCGGAGATCGTTGATTTCTAGTGGACACTATATTCAATTTCAATATCTAAATTCGTGAAGTAATCAAACTAGGATCATAAATGTTCGTATAATGTTCCTTCCATTCTATACTTCCTCTAGGATAGAATGATTTAAAATAAAAAATGAATAATCGATTTCTATAGGTCGGTGATGATATTTTATTCACGTAAAATAACAATTACATATTTAACAAAAATTTTAATGAATAGCATTGGCTTTCAAAGGACACTAAGCGTACACATGCAGCAAAAGTGGTCACTAATATGCAGGTGATCCACGTGCACCTCGGCCAGTGCTGCCTTCATCAAATCAATTGGTGATGAGGAAATATTCACCCTTTCGCAGTCTTCCGATTTTCTATAAAATCGGCATAAAGAATCGCGGAGATGGTTCACCAGATGTTCCTCGTTCAACAATGAGTGTTTGGGCGAGAGTTGCTTAAGCAGGTACTGTCTGTAGATAATCATCCGAACCAATCAGCCTTACTGTCGGTCTCTTGTTGTCAGTCGCGGAGAGGTATCTACGAGTTTCCTCAATTTCTGTTCTATATCCTGTGCGAAAGCCAATCGCCCCTGCAGTATTTCTCTAACTGTCGGGAAGTCTGCTAACCTTCTTACGCGTGTATCACGAACTGTCGAACGAAGTCAGACTGGAGGAATGAATTTCAAGTAGTTGAATGAAATTAATTTGGCGAGTAACGTTAAGAGATAGAGAGACGGCTTTATAACGCTACCGAAGTTGTAGAAATTATTTGAAACAATGGAAGAAGCTGCATGCAAGAGAGATTCGACATTTTCGTGACTTTAAACGATTGCACGAATATATTAGTTACCAGGAACGGAAAGATTACTGCAATGTCATTTCTTGTATTCGAGCGTATACATTAAAGATACATGATAACCTACAAAGTAGGCGTGCTGGTAATTATGGCAAGAAGTATAATATTAGATGAATGTCTATTCTGCTAAACTGATTATCGTATGCAAACATATGGTTATGCTACGCGACGAAGATTTTATTGCTAGGTGATAAACAAATTGGAACCGAATCCACGTTTTCTGGAAAGTAAAAGGTTTATATATAATAGTAGCTTCTTCAAATGCAAAAATTTGGGAGCATAGAAATCTTCACGCGATGGTACACAGATTCAGTGTGGATTGCTTCATTGTCAGTGTGTGAGCAAATACCGTTGGCAATACCGTAACAGGTTGAGGTAGAATTCAAAAGTACCTAGGGTAACGTTGGCGGACATTACCAGTAAATATAATAATAACGGTATTGACTGTTTAAAACACATCTCGTGGAAGTCTGAATAAACTTCAAAGGGAAGAAGTAATGTCAGTTATGTGGAAGTGTTGATTTTATATGTGTGAATGTGAGTCAAGTTGAATAAGTGAAACTCAATTGCAGTAATATAAATATAATATGTGCGAATGCAGACTGGTATGAACGGTGTTTGAAAAAATGTTTAGGAGAATGTGCCAGAATAAATCAGTTATGTGCGAATCGTTGGAGAGGAGACACGGGAATGTAACGGCTAATAAGGGAGTGTGCGAGAGAGAGAGAAGAATTTTCTTGAAAGTTTTTGCTTAAAATTGCGAGTTGTTTTCATTATTTTAAGTATTTCCGTCGAAACATACTAACGAGTTGACTATTAAAGAACGTAGAAGGTATTGGTGTCCATTTCTGTCCACATTATAGGCCTAAATTCAAATACTGAATGATCAAGGAGTACTATCGCGTCGCGATCGAACTCTTGTAATTCCGACGGGTTGTAAAATCGCCTCGCGACTGCGACACGTGTTGCCCGCCAAATTAATCTTGGGCAACTGCTTAAGTTGTACAAGCGGAAAGGAGCCGTGTCTACGACGTTTCGAAGAAAACGTGGCGTCTCGTTGATTTTGAGAGAATCGGTTTCTCTGTGGCTCGAAGAGAACTGGTGTTTCTGAGGTCTCGGAAGGAACTGACTGAGGATAACCGATGTCTCTGAAGTGTCAAAAGGAAGTGACCTCCTCGATCTTCCTAAGATTGGCTAAGGTTTCCAACGTGTGTAGACCACGTGGGGCCCTCAGGTCTATTGTCAGCCAAGTCTAAAGAGCCTTCGCCTAACTTCGTTCAATTTGGGATTTCCAGGATTCTCGTGCTCCTTGACACGAGATGTCAAAGAAAAGGGTAAAGCATTCCAACATGCTGAAAGCATGTAGCGGAAAATTCCGATGTCGTATTGTTTGACCATAAGACCTGACTGTTGGAAGACTGTAACGGGTCTTCCTTGTTCCACGACTGAACAAATACTATTAAAAACTTTTAAGAATTGCATAGGGGAAGGTTCGAAACTTAATGAAGGAACAACTTTGTACCCAGTGCAATTTTTTGTTAAAGCGTGAAATGTAAAACAGTTTAGAAATTATTCATCTAATATATCACCACAGAACAGTAAAAGCAATTATATTTATGGTTATTGTATGGACAAAGTTACAGAAGACTCCAACGTTGCTAGTGACTCAGCAAGATCATATTGTATACAACAAAAATTATTGAAGTGCCAGGTATATAGGAAGGTGATTATCAAATACAATAACAAAAATAGCATGAATCATATTTAACGTTATACAAATAATCTAGCGCTTCCCTTCGACGGATATCCCATAGTACGGATAATGATGAACAATATTTTAGCCCTTAAGGGACATGGTTGTGTAGCGGCATCATTCTCATCCATGTCAATAGATGGATTCCTACTTGAAGAAGGTACGAGGACGTTCTCGCAAGTCTTCGGTGAACCCTCGACCTCCAATTATTAGTAGTTTCTAATCTACCTAAGTATCACCCGCCTAAGGCAGAGCCTGTTAGAAAATCTTACTTCCACTAGCAGGCCCAGGACGAAACGCATTCCATTCCCTGCGTTGTTCTATCTGCTACCTCCCTATCATAGCGTAACGACCGAAGGGGAAACTATCTGGGCAGCATCGCGGGAACCACAACACAAAGTCATAATCACAACGCCGTGGAGGACGACTCTCGCAGTTGCAAATGGAGCGAATGCGTAGCTTTGGTTTAATGCAATGCACGAGAACGCTGGGTTTGTTACACAAAAACAAGTGTCAATAAATTGTACAATAGCCTCGTCTCGGTCCGAGCATTTGCACGAATATCTATGAGTGCGTGTGGAACAGCAAAGGTGATCGCGTGTAAGAATATTCTATAGGCGATCATGTTTGGCGTATGCAAGAGATATCAGATGAAAGGGAGTACCTATGTCAGAGTGAATGCGAGTGAAGTGTAAATCTAGGTATGCGCTTGATGGTGTAGGGTGAGCGGAAAAAAGCGAATGAGGAAATGTTAACGAAGAAGAGAAAAGAAGAGAGAGGATGCTAAGTTAAAAGTAAAGGTGCAAGTATGCAAGAGAGTTCAAAGTGTTTTGGGACAGACAGCAGAGATATTGTAAAACAGCGAGCATTAGAGCGGTAAAGTCAATATTAGACAGTCAATGTGAAATAGCGTGGTTGCTTGAAATAGATTAGGAATTGTTTGAGTACGTATCGTCAAAGTTCAACCTTTTGCATTCCAATTATATTATTCCTTACAATCAAAGACCTGTGTGTGTTGTGCCTTTCTAGCCTTCCCCACTACACTGGCAACAATTCTAATGCAGTAAAATATAGCAGAGGTTCAAATTATATTTAATTTATTTTTGTTTATTTTAATGCCGTATTGCAGTGTCACTATAAATTTAGATGTGTTGTGATTGGTTGATGAAAACTGTGGGTCGTTGATGCGTTTTTCCCCATTGGTATTGCTGCGGCCCCAGGACCGAACCTCCCAAGTTTTCGCGGAGGACTGCTTTGTGATCTTATCGCCGACGTCCTTTGCCGCCTGTCATCGCTTAGGTGACCATTGGTCGGAGTTAGTAAATCATTCTTAGGACAATAAGCCCCAAATTGTTCGATCATCAACCGCCAGTGGGGGACGTCGCGGCTGGAACATCCCC